AGGTGTTGGTCTAATGATAGAAGTTCATAAGAGATGTTTTGTTCAGTATAATAATGACTATTCAAACTGTCATTATCTGTACTATGCACTAAATTATACATAACATAAAATTACTATCATTACAAGTACGATAAAATTGATACTTACGAAGCCGAATCTACCGTAATAGCTGGCAGGATAAGGTACCATATCGGTCCAAGTAATGACAACAACATGTTTGGCATTAAAATTATTAACAGTATGATGATAAAGGCCGAATTTGGCTTTCAATTGTGAGCTTGTCCAATTACTATGAAGCTTGAGTTGTGATTGGAATTGATCAACATCGGTTGTAGCTCGACTAAGGATCGATTGAGACGACGTAGAGCTATCAAAATTACTATATTCATGGTAATAAACACGGGATTTTGTATTATAGTAATGTCTCATATCGTTTCCGCTGAAGAATGGTGCCACCAGTGGAATGTTGTAATAACGGAATGATGATGGATAATAGTAGCAATGCGAAAAATGGAATGTGACATAACCACTGGAACAGATCTAATCCAATTTCAAATACGAGAACATTACAGACGCATTAGTACCCTAAACTCTTATGAACAACTATATTATTTGCAGTATAATACTTACATAAAGCGTTTGATAGAACTTGTTAGCAAAGTAAATAGGCGATTTAAGATAAAGACGACGTCGGATGAGGAAGCGATTACCGAAAGATGAATCTCCTTGAGATGAACCATACGGATATAATCTACTTGCTACATAGTAAAAAAGTTTGATAATTAATACGAGATACTGTTATTACTGTAATCAATGCGATACGGTAAGGATTGGACTTTATATCTGGACTATAATATAATGTACACGTATTTATGATTGCTTAATAAATAAAATAAAAGGAAGAAATTATCTTGACTTACGTATGATACTTTATTAGAGTTAAATACTGGATTAATATAGTTCTGTTTTATAACTTACGTGGCGGCGTAGTGGCTACATTGGGAGATGTTCCAGTCGTTGCCGTTTGGTTAGTCGGTGTTGCAGTAACAGTAGTTGCTGATTGTTGCGTTGTAGACATCGTTGGACTTGTAGAAGTAGAGAAAGTTTGAGAAGTA